CACAGGACCTTCCTCCTGGTGTCTGATAATGCTTGTACTCCTCAGTCCTCCAACGGTACACATTCTCACTCTCAGCTCCTAGTACCTCTTGCTCCCAACTCCTCACACGCACACCACAAACTGAAGTGAGCTCCTTTTTAAACCCAAGTGCCCTGATTAGCACACCTTAATTGATTCTAGCAGCTTCTTGACTGGCTGCAGGTGTTCTAATCAGCCTGTCTTAATTGTCTCCAGAAGGTTCCTGATTGTTCTGGAACGTTCCCTGTTACCTTACCCAGGGAAAAGGGACCTACTTAACCTGGGGCTAATATATCTGCCTTCTGTTACTCTCCTATAGCCATCTGGCCCGACCCTGTCACAGGGGATAATAATTCTTCTCTTCTCTCTGTTTAGATTGTAAACTCTTCAGCGCAGGGACTGTCTCATGTATGTACAGTGCCTAACTGTGACAGTCTGTACCCCTATGTTCACCCCTTTTACAAGACCATGATAAATTTTGCACAAAGTATCCCTTGTGAGGTATTGTTCGAGAACTCATAATTTGCTGACCATTATTGTCCTGGAATAATGGCAACATTATATGTAAAGTTATAAGATTCTACTGTATGAGAGTAGGGGATTACTGTATGCCAGGAAGGAGACTGTTCTAGATTTGATTTTGACAAATAGGGAGGAACTGGTTGAGAATTTGAAAGTGGAAGGCATCTTAGGTGAAAGTGATCATGAAATGATAGAGTTCATGATTCTAAGGAATGGTAGGAGGGAAAACAGCACAATAAAGATAATGGATTTCAAGAAGGCAGACTTCAGCAAATTTGGGGAGTTGGTGGGTAAGGTCCCATGGGAAGCAAGTCTAAGGAGAAAAACAGTTCAAGAGAGTTGGCAGTTTTTCAAAGAGACATTATTAAGGGCACAAGAGCAAACTATCCCACTGCGTAGGAAAGATAGGAAGTATGGCAAGAGACCACCCTGGCTTAACCAGATCCTCAATGATCTGAAACTCAAAAGAGTCCTACAAAAAGTGGAAAGTAAGTCAAATTACAAAGGATGAATATAAACAACACAAGTATGTAGGGACAAAATTAGAAAGAAGGCCAAGGCACAAAACCGGATTAAACTAGCTAGACATATAAAGGGTTACAAGAAAATATTCTACAAATACATTAGAAGCAAAAAGAAGACCAAGGGCAGGGTAGGCCCATTACTCAATGACTGGGAGAAAACAATAACAGAAAATGTGGAAATGGCAGATGTGCTAAATGACTTTTTTGTTTCAGTTTTCACCAAAAAGGTTAGTAGTGATTGGATGTCTAACACAGTGAATATCGGTGAAAATGATCAGAGGCTAAAATAGGGAAAGAACAAGTTAAAAATGACTTAGACAAGTTAGATGTCTCCAAGTCACCAGAGCCTAATGAAATACATCCTAGAATACTCAAGGAGCTGACTGAGGAGATATCTGAGCCATTAACAATTATCTTCAAAAAGTTATGGAAGAGGGGAAAGATTCAAGAGGACTGGGGAAAGGGCAAATATAGTACCAATCTATTAAAAGGGAAATAAGGACAACCTTGGGAGTTACAGACCAATCAGATTAACTTCTGTACCCAGAAAGATAATGGAGCAAATAATTAAATGATCAATTTGCAAACACCTAGAAGATAATAAGGTGCTATAACAGTCAGCATGGATTTGTCAAGAACAAATCATGGAAAACCAACCTGATAGCTTTCTTTGGCAGGGTAACAAGCCTTGTAGATGTGGAGAAGTGGTAGATGTGCTATAGCTTGACTTCAGTAAGGCTTTTGATACTGTCTTGCATGACCTTCTTATAAACAAACTAGGGAAATACAACCTAGATGGAACTACTATAAGGGTGCATAACTGATTGAAAAATAGTTCCCAGAGAGTAGTTTTCAGTGGTTCACAGTCATGCCGGAAGGGTATAATGAGTGGGGTCCCACAGGGATCAGTTCTGGGTCTAGTTCTGTTCAATATCTTCATCTATGATTTAGATAATGGTATAGAGAGTACACTTATAAAGTTTGCGGATGATACCAAGCTTGGAGGGGTTGCAAGTGCTTTGGAGGATAGGATTAAGATTCAAAATGATCTGGAAAAACTGGAGAAATGGTATGAAGTAAATAGGATGAAATTCAATGAGGACAAATGCAAAGTACTCCATTTAGGAAGGAACAATTAGTTGCACACATACAAAGTGGGAAATGACTGCCTAGGAAGGAGTACTGCGGAAAGGGATCTGGCGGTTATAGTGGACCACAAGCCAAATATGAGTCAACAGTGTAACACAGTTGCAAATAACCCAAACATCAGGAGTGTTGTAAGCAAGATACAAGAAGTAATGCTTCTACTCTACTCGAGGATGATTAGCTCTAACTGGATTATTGTGTCCAGTTCTGTGCCCCACATTTCAGGAAAGATGTGGATAAATTAGAGAGAGTCCCGAGCAGAACAACAAAAATGATTAAAGATCTAGAAAACATGACGTATGAGAGAAGATTGAAAAAATTGTGTTTGTTTACTCTGGAGACGAGAAGACTGAGAGGGGACAGGATAACAGTTTTCAAGTACATAAAAGGTTATTACAAGGAGGAGATAGGTAAAGTGTTCTCATTAACCTCTGAGGATAGGACAAGAAGCAATGGGCTTAAATTGCAGCAAGGGCGGTTTAGGTTGGACGTGAGAAAAAACTTCCTGTCAGGGTAGTTAAGCACTGGAATAAATTGCCTAGGGAGGTTGTGGAAACTGCATCACTGGAGATTTTTAGAGCAGTTCAGACAAACACCTGTCAGGGATGGTCTAGATAATACTTAGTCCTGCTGTGAGTGCAGGGGACTAAATTAGATGACCTCTCGAGGTCCCTTCCAGTCCTATGATTCATTACTGAGACATGTTCCAAGTTCAGAAAAGCAGCCACAAACCAGTTCCTCAGAGACAAAAGGCAAACTGACACCTCAGCCAGGTGTCAACAAAATCAAATGAGTTATCACCTGGTTAAGTGGCCATTCTTTGGCAGGAAAGAGAGTGTGAGCAAGAAATCTACATTTACACAAAAAACAGCTTGAGGTTCCCATCCACATGGACTTTGTGTCTTCTGAACCTCAGCTGGAAATGATTCTCAAAAGAGAACTATACAAAAGCAGAACAGACACCCCAAAACATCCCTCCCTTTCTCTCTATCCACAGCAGCCACAACACCTGAAGAAAAGAGACAGCTTTGAACTGAGGAGGGATCCTGTCTGAAAGAGATTCAGCCAGTAAGATTGCTGAACCATGTGGTGAGAGATTTTTGCTTTGAATTCACTTAGCTTGTTAAGTGAAGTATTAGTTGTGTTCTACTTTTATATTTTCTTGTAACCAATTCTGATTTTTATGCCTCATTACTTGTAATCAGTTAAAATCTCTCTTTCTGTAATTAATAAATTAGTTTGACCTAAACCAGTGTGTTTAGACTGAAATGTTTAGGAAACTTCATTTGAAATAATAGGATCTGTGAGTATCATTTTCTGTTAATAAAATGACAGACTTTATATGAGCTTGTACTGTCCAGAAGGAGAGAGCTGGGCAGTACAAGACATATTTTTGGGGACAAGTCTGGGAGTGGGAATTTGCTGGTGGTGCCCTGCAGTGTAATTCAGGAGTGGCTGGCCATAACACTCATACAGTATAGCTGGGAGTGATTTACATGCTGGAGGCTGTGTGTGAGAAGAACAGGAGTGGTTGCTGTCACAGTGAAACAGTGTACAAGGCACCCCAGGTTGGAGAACTAGGGTTACACAGCTGTTCAACAGTCCAGATTGTACCCTGGGTAATGTCACACTAGCACACTGAGCTCCTGATCTTGGTTGGCACCTCTAGGTACTACCCTAATGCAAATAATACTAAACAGCATGGCATTTATGAAAGAAGGAGGTGGGCCCATTGTTTGTGTTTGTTATGAACTCACACTTGAACCACGTGCAACAAAACTGGCAGCTGTGGTTTCACAGAGCCTTATGGAAAAAGCATGGCTAATTGGTACCTGGAGTAAGTGCTTCCTGCTGGAACGCACGGGCTCCCTCCCTATCTCATTATTGTTAACAGTGGAATAGTCTCTATCATAGTCTCTCCAGGCCCTCTGGAAGGAGGTATGGTCAGAAACCTCTTTGACTATGGGGTTTTTTTTCCTCCCTTAGTGATATAATTCCTAGTGAGATAAGTATTTTTTTACTGAGTAAAAAGTTAGGGATTGTCTTTAAATTACCAGTCTTTCAAACTAGGAAAATATTTTTAGCCCCCATATTGTCCTCTGCTTCTGAGGGTATGTCTACACTACGAAATTAAGTCGAATTTATAGAAGTCGGTTTTTTAGAAATCGGTTTTATATATTCGAGTGTGTGTGTCCCCACAGAAAATGCTCTAAGTGCATTAAGTGCATTAACTCGGCGGAGCGCTTCCCCAGTACCGAGGCAAGCGTCGACTTCCGGAGCGTTGCACTGTGGGTAGCTATCCCACAGTTCCCGCAGTCTCCGCTGCCCATTGGAATTCTGGGTTGAGATCCCAATGCCTGATGGGGCTAAAACATTGTCGCGGGTGGTTCTGGGTACATATCGTCAGCCCCCCGTTCCCTCCCTCCCCCCCCCGTGAAAGCAAGGGCAGACAATCATTTCGCGCCTTTTTTCCTGAGTTACCTGTGCAGACGCCATACCACGGCAAGCATGGAGCCCGCTCAGCTCACTTTGGCAATTAGGAGCACATTAACCACCACACGCATTATTCAGCAGTATATGCAGCACCAGAACATGGCAACGCGATACCGGGCGAGGAGGCGACGTCAGCGCGGTCCCGTGAGTGATCAGGACATGGACACAGATTTCTCTGAAAGCATGGGCCCTGACAATGCATGCATCATGGTGCTAATGGGGCAGGTTCATGCTGTGGAACGCCGATTCTGGGCTCGGGAAACAAGCACAGACTGGTGGGACCACATAGTGTTGCAGGGCTGGGACGATTCCCAGTGGCTGCGAAACTTTCGCATGCGTAGGGGCACTTTCATGGAACTTTGTGACTTGCTTTCCCCTGCCCTGAAGCGCATGAATACCAAGATGAGAGCAGCCCTCACAGTTGAGAAGCGAGTGGCGATAGCCCTGTGGAAGCTTGCAACGCCAGACAGCTACCGGTCAGTTGGGAATCAATTTGGAGTGGGCAAATCTACTGTGGGGGCTGCTGTGATGCAAGTAGCTCACGCAATCAAAGATCTGCTGATATCAAGGGTAGTGACCCTGGGAAATGTGCAGGTCATAGTGGATGGCTTTGCTGCAATGGGATTCCCTAACTGTGGTGGGGCTATAGACGGAACCCATATCCCTATATTGGCACCGGAGCACCAAGCCGCCGAGTACATAAACCGCAAGGGGTACTTTTCGATAGTGCTGCAAGCTCTGGTGGATCACAAGGGACGTTTCACCAACATCAACGTGGGATGGCCGGGAAAGGTGCATGATGCTCGCATCTTCAGGAACTCTGGTCTGTTTCAAAAGCTGCAGGAAGGGACTTTATTCCCAGACCAGAAAATAACTGTTGGGGATGTTGAAATGCCTATATGTATCCTTGGGGACCCAGCCTACCCCTTAATGCCATGGCTCATGAAGCCATACACAGGCAGCCTGGACAGTGGTCAGGAGCTGTTCAACTACAGGCTGAGCAAGTGCAGAATGGTGGTAGAATGTGCATTTGGACGTTTAAAGGCGCGCTGGCGCAGTTTACTGACTCGCTTAGACCTCAGCGAAACCAATATTCCCACTGTTATTACTGCTTGCTGTGTGCTCCACAATATCTGTGAGAGTAAGGGGGAGACGTTTATGGCGGGGTGGGAGGTTGAGGCAAATCGCCTAGCTGCTGGTTACGCGCAGCCAGACACCAGGGCGGTTAGAAGAGCACAGGAGGGCGCGGTACGCATCAGAGAAGCTTTGAAAAACAGTTTCATGACTGGCCAGGCTACGGTGTGAAAGTTCTGTTTGTTTCTCCTTGATGAACCCCCCCGCCCCTTGGTTCACTCTACTTCCCTGTAAGCTAACCACCTTCCCCTCCTCCCTTTAATCATTGCTTGCAGAGCCAATAAAGTCATTGCTGCTTCACAGTCATGCATTCGTTATTCATTCATCACACAAATAGGGGGATGACTACCAAGGTATCCCAGGAGGGGTGGTGGAGGAGGGAAGGAAAATGCCACACAGCACTTTAAGCACAGCACTTTAAAAGTTTACAACTTTAAAATTTATTGAATGACAGCCTTCTTTTTTTTGGGCAATCCTCTGTGGTGGAGTGGCTGGTTGGCCGGAGGCCCCCCCACCACGTTCTTGGGCGTCTGGGTGTGGAGGCTATGGAACTTGGGGAGGAGGGCGGTTGGTTACAGAGGGGCTGCAGTGGCAGTCTGTGCTCCAGCTGCCTTTGCTGCAGCTCAACCATACACTGGAGCATACTGGTTTGGTCCTGCAGCAGCCTCAGCATTGAATCCTGCCTCCTCTCATCACGCTGCCGCCACCTTTGAGCTTCAGCCCTGTCTTCAGCCCGCCACTTACTCTCTTCAGCCCGCCACTTACTCTCTTCAGCCCGCCACCTCTCCTCCCGGTCATTTTGTGCTTTCCTGCACTCTGACATTATTTGCCTCCACGCATTCGTCTGTGCTCTGTCAGTGTGGGAGGACAGCATGAGCTTGGAGAACATTTCATCGCGAGTGCGTTTTTTTTTCTTTCTAAGCTTCACTAGCCTCTGGGAAGGAGAAGATCCTGTGATCATTGAAACACATGCAGCTGGTGGAGAAAAAAAAAGGGACAGCGATATTTAAAAAGACACATTTTATAAAACAGTCGCTACACTCTTTCAGGGTAAACCTTGCTGTTAACATTACATACATAGCACATGTGCTTTCGTTACAAGGTCGCATTTTGCCTCCTCCCACCGCGTGAACGGATTTTGGTTGAATGCCAGCAAACATACACTGCAATGCTTTGTTCTACAGTGATTCCCGAGTACGTGTTACTGGCCTGGAGTGGTAAAGTGTCCTACCATGAAGGACGAAATAAGGCTGCCCTCCCCAGAAACCTTTTGCAAAGGCAGAACCGCAAATGCCAGGGCAAAGTAATCCTTTCACATGCTTGCTTTTAAACCATGTATAGCATTTTAAAAGGTACACTCACCAGAGGTCCCTTCTCCGCCTGCTGAGTCCAGGAGGCAGCCTTGGGTGGGTTCGGGGGGTACTGGCTCCAGGTCTAGGGTGAGAAACAGTTCCTGGCTGTCGGGAAAACCGGTTTCTCCGCTTGCTTGCTGTGAGCTATCTACAACCTCCTCATCATCATCTTCTTCGTCCCCAAAACCTACTTCCGTATTGCCTCCATCTCCATTGAAGGAGTCAAACAACATGGCTGGGGTAGTGGTGGCTGAACCCCCTAAAATGGCATGCAGCTCATCATAGAAGCGGCATGTTTGGGGCTCTGACCCAGAGCGGCTGTTCGCCTCTCTGGTTTTCTGGTAGGCTTGCCTCAGCTCCTTCAGTTTCACGCGGCACTGCTTCGGGTCCCTGTTATGGCCTCTGTCCTTCATGCCCTGGGAGATTTTCAGAAAGGTTTTGGCATTTCGAAAACTGGAACGGAGTTCTGATAGCACGGATTCCTCTCCCCAAACAGCGATCAGATCCCGTACCTCCCGTTCGGTCCATGCTGGAGCTCTTTTGCGATTCTGGGACTCCATCATGGTCACCTGTCCTGATGAGCTCTGCATGGTCACCTGCAGCTTGCCACGCTGGCCAAACAGGAAATGAGATTCAAAAGTTCGCGATTCTTTTCCTGTCTACCTGGCCAGTGCATCTGAGTTGAGAGTGCTGTCCAGAGCGGTCATAATGGAGCACTCTGGGATAGCTCCCGGAGGCCAATACCATCGAATTGTGTCCACAGTACCCGAAATTCGAGCCGGCAACATCGATTTAAGCGCTAATCCACTTGTCAGGGGTGGAGTAAGGAAATCGATTTTAAGAGCCCTTTAAGTCGAAATAAAGGGCTTCATTGTGTGGACGGGTGCAGGTTTAAATCGATTTAACGCTGCTAAATTCGACCTAAAGTCCTAGTGTAGACCAGGGCTGAGATACCTTTGATTGTCACTTTTAAACTACTATATGATTGTGGTCGGCAGGATGTGACTTTGCTCCACTCTGCTCCAGAATAAAAAGATACAAGACCCAGTTCGGCTCTGGCGTAGGTAAGTAAGTAATGGGCATCCTGCTCAGTCTCTCTGAAAGAAGTAGTCTGGGAAGATTGAAAGCAAGATGGAGGAGGTGTGAGAACCACAGCGGATGAGCCCACTCTGAAAGGAGGATCCTGGGTCCCCTTGATGGTTTCATTTTCCATAGAACTTGAGGAATTAATGGGAGGGAGGGTGTGACCAGGTCCTAGTGGGGAGCCTAGTGTGATCACTCAATTAGAGTGAACTGCAAAAAATGGGGCAGACAATCCCCATAAAGCTGGTGGATATTCCAATACTTAGATTTACCAAGTCAGCATAAAACAGCTTCTTTATTACCTTACTGGGTACTTAGAAGTCCAAACAACACAGTTCCCTTAAAGCAGTGGTTCTCAGACTTTTGTACTGGTGACCCCTTTCACATTGCAAGCTTCTGAGTGAGACCCCCCCTTATTAATTAAAAACACTTTTTAATATATTTAACACCATTATAAATGCTGGAGACGAAGCAGGGTTTGGGGTGGAGGCTGGCAGCTTGTGACCCCCCCATGTAATAACCTCGCGACCCCCTGAGGGGTCCTGACCCCCAGTTTGAGAACCCCTGCCTCAGGCCTCCATACAGGTACCCACATTAAATACGATGAAAATTTCTGTAAATCTTATTCCATCATATAAAAGAAAAGGTTCTACCAATCCCAAAGGATCAGACACATTACCTCCCAGCTTATTGAATATTCCAGATCTTTCCCAAATACACACTACAGCCAATTCTTATTAACGAAACTAAAATTTATTAAAAAATGAGAGAGATCAATAAATATACATACAGACATGAGTTCAATTCACTGAGGTGCAGATTCATAGCAGAGATGGTGACCTTTGTAGTTGCAAAGAGTTCTTTCAGAAATAGTTCATAGGTTATAGTCCAATGTCCAAATATCATGTTCAGGGCATACCAGCATAACTGGGACCTCAGTCTTGCGACTCAAACTTCCCCTGATGAAGCCTAAGCAGATCTGAGATGACAGAATCAGGACCCAAGGATCTTTTATAAAATTTCATGTCTTTTGAGAAGTTGGAGTTTAAAAGGTAATTAGGATGACTTTGAAGGCAGTCCATCACCGGTACTTAGCTATAGAATTAATATAAGGCAATTTGCTTGTTCCTCCACCATTCCCAGTACATTTCAAAGAGAGATGAATACTGAGATATCCCGTGTTTACAATTCATTTAAATGATAGGATGCTTTTTCACCTCCAAATTACCAGAATACATCATAGACAGGGACTGTTGATTACATTGTCAACCCTACTCATACATATTTAAAAACACAAACATTATCTCCCCACATGTCTTTGAGGGTTATTTATTTTGCAGGCTGTTTAACCCTTTCTGGCCATGTGTCACAGAGGGCTTGCAGAACATTACGCACCTCATTCAAGTGAGATGCATATGTAAGGACTAGCCAATGTCTTCCTCTCCTGGCACAGAATTATTGCTACTTTCGCTGACACTCGGGATTAAGTTTGGATTTGGTACTGAAATCCATATTACTGCAATCTTATGAGCTGGTCTCATAAAATTTCAACCCAAAATGGCCTTAAGATCATAAGATCCTCTGACCTCCCAGGACTGCTGCCATTTTGAATGGGGTCAATCCCAGTTTATCTTGTGCCAAAATCTCATGAGGATTGTTTTTTGGTGAGATTGCAGACACATCCAAACCATAATTGGAAAAGAGTCCTCTTCTACTTTTGGGCACCGATTAGAACGTGGGTACAGCGAAGCAGGTGGGGGAGCAAGGGGAAAGCTTCAGGAAAACTATTTTCTTATTCTAAAGCTCCTTGTTCTGTCTTAGAAGAAAGTGATCCTTTCTCTGATTCCCTGCCATTCTCACGTGACAACAGTGGCACTAAAATAAAACCACTGGGCAGAATTTGGACTCAAATTGTGCTTCAAAGCGGTTTGAATTTGAGGATCTGGTTTTTGTCCATCTCTAATAAAAAGAAAATATGAAAAACAACCACCCGTAGATTTATCAAGCTTTCCTCTTTCTCTCTCTCAATGCTGCCTGCTGGGTGTAGTCTTCGTAAGTCAGATGCCATACATAAAACATGTGCTGCTTAAGGCAGAGTACTTCATTTACAGCCATTCAGGTTAGCCAGGGCTGCAGCGCCAGCTCATCGAACAAGGCACAGGACAAGAACGCTCGGGAAGCAGCTTCAGTTTCAGCAATTAATGTAGCTTGGGAGACGCCTGTGCCTGAAGCACTTTTGTTACACTCCAGAAAGCTGCTGAGTGTGGCTGAACGGTGGATGACACACAACGCTGTATGTTATGTATTTTACACAGAAGGAGTTTGATCCAGGCCGCAGTGGTGGACACGAGGCTATGCTGTCCTCCTTTCCTCAAAAACGCAGTATGGGTTCTGATAGGACCAGATTAATTACAAAGTGGTTTGTTTGCAAGCAGAGAAATTAGGGGCCTGATCTTGCCTTCCTTGGTGACTCCAAACTCCCACTGACTTCATCAGCATCTAGGTATGATTCTGTGTTTTTAAGGGGGGGAAATGGTTGGTTTTTTTTTTTTCCCATTTAAAATAACCAGCACCTATATGCAAATGTAGATTTTCGTTAGCTCACTGCAGTAATGCCCAGTTTCTGCAGCACACTTGTACAGAACTGAATGGGTAGGACACAACTTCTCTGAAACACACAGGTAGTGTCCCAAGCACTTCTACTCTCCCGTTTCTATTGGGCAAACAAAATCATACGTGCAGCACTTCAGAGACTGAAAGGT